ACACACTGAATAAAATCCCACATTTTCTGTTTTGAACTAGAATATATGGCAGTGTGGACTCAGATAACCTAGTTCAAAGCGGATATTGTGGATTATCTGCCTTGATATTCTGAATTATATGGCTGCGTGGAAGGGCCCTCAGCCTAAGGAGAAGCATGACATCCTTTTAAAATGGTGTGGGGGAGTATAAAACACAGAAATCCACAACTCCTGAAAAATTGTGTATGGAAAAGGTACAACCAGCTGATTCATAGGGTCAAACTGGGATTCCAGGAGGCCAGCTTTAACCTCACAGCTTGTGGTTTCCTACTCCTGCCAAATGACAACCCTCATAAATCATCATACAGACATGGAACACAAAGACAATTTAGACTTCGTTTATCACAGGATGATTCACACCTTGCCTACATACCTGCTCCTGCTCCATCCTGCCACATACACACATCTTGCCCACAGAAAGAAGTTTGTTTCAGGACACAGCACTAAAGCTAGAACACAGAAATCCACTTTGAACACTGATACTGAATAAGCTCTCCCGACAGGTCTGAAACAATTGCATCAACACATCCTTCATGAAAGACTCTTAAGGTCTTCAACAAAGATAAATTTAAATCCATTAAACCAGTTCTTCCAGGCTGACATGGGAACTATTTTTCCTCATTTTGCTAGGGGCCGGCATCTTATTTTTGCCCATTATCGGCAATTGTTTTTTTAAAACTTTCCTGGAAACTCGGCAACGGTCAGAAAAAAATGGTTTAAGGACTAACACCAGTCCAGGGAGCAATACTCTGAACAACATTGCACTAAGCCAAGAGTAATAAGCTTGCAAGCAACCAGGTATTATTACGTAGCAAGTCCCATCATCTTCCACCCCATTGGCTAGGGCTGGTGCAGGCACCATGTTCCAGTATCTTCTGGAGCGCTACAAGTTGATTAACTATGCGTAAAACCATAGACGGTCCACATACAGCACGAACAAGATGTGATTAATCCCCATCCAGTTTGACCTGAGTTCCAAACTTTGGGTTCCTGTCACTATGTGGAATACTTGAGCCCCATATTGTGATAAAAGAGGGATATAAAATATATGTTTTGGAACTCATCAACCTCACCAGGTATTATTATCATTGTCGTCATCACCATCATTATTATTTGAAATACAACAAGATTAGTACACAGCAAACAAGATCACTATGCTGGTTGTTGTACTGGATCACATGTCAGACACTTCACAAGTGTCTATGATTATGTGATGTATCGGCAAATAATGTATGCAGATCCTAGTAGGGTGGCCTTTTGCAGCTGACAGATGGTAAATTTGTCAGCGCCAATTGTTTTCAAGTGCAGGCCAAACTCTTTAGGCACTGCACCCAGTGTGCGGATCACCACTGAGACCACCTTAACTGGTTTGTGCCAGAGTCTTTGCAGTTCAATCTTTAAATCCTCGTATTGTGTCAGCTTTTCCAGTTGTTTCTCTTCAATCCTGCTGTCGCCTGGGATTGCAACATTGACGAGCCATACTTGGTTTTTTAACATGATTGTGAAGTCAGAAGTATTGTGCTCAAAAACTCTGTTAGTCTGAATTTGGACATCCCAAAGTAGTTTGACATTTTCATTTTCTGTAACTTTTCCAGGCTTGTGATCCCACCAGTTCTTTGTCACAGGCAGATGGTATTTGACACAAGCTCCAATGAAGCATCTGAGCAACGATGTTATGTCTCTGCTTATAGTCTGTCTGTGCAATCTTCTTGCAGCAGGATGTGATCTATTGTTTCATCTGCTTCTTTGCAGAATCTACACTTGGGATCTGTTGTCAACTTTTCAATTTTGGCTTTGATGGCATTTATTCTAATGGCTTGTTTTTGGGCTGCCAGAATCAGGCCCTACGTCTCCTTTTTCAGAGTTCCATTTGTGAGCCACAGCCATGTTTTTTCTTTGTCTTGTTTGCTCTCAATTTTTCCCAGGAACTGTCCATGGAGAGCCTTCTTTTGCCAGTTTTCTCTTCTGTTCTGCATTGTATTTTTATGGTATTCCCTCTTTGTCTTTTGCACTTGAAGCAGTTTACTACTATTGGCTTCCATCAATGTTGGTTCTTGACTGATTTCACATAATCTGCCAGTGCGTGCTTCTCTTCTACCGTTTGTTTCACTTGCAGAAGCCCTCTGCCTCTGGATTTTCTGGACAGGTAAAGTCTGTTAACATCACTACGCAGGGGTAATGAGTAGTGGATTGTCATCAATTTTCTTGTTTTTCTGTCCATTATTATTGTTGTTGTTGTCAAGGGTATATCAAGGGCTTAGGAACCCAAGATACTTGAAGGAATAAAAGTTCCCCAATACAACCCTGACATAAATCATAGAATCACAGAATCATAGAGTTGGAAGAGACCTCATGGGCCATCCAGTCCAACCCCCTGCCAAGCAGGAATATTGCATTCCCTCAATCACCCTCAACAGATGGCCATCCAGCCTCGGTTTAAAAGCTTCCAAAGAAGGAGCCTACACCACACTCCGGGGCAGAGAGTTCCACCGCTGAACAGCTCTCACAGTCAGGAAGTTCTTCCTCGTGTTCAGATGGAATCTCCTCTCTTGTAGTTTGAAGCCATTGTTCTGCGTCCTAGTCTCCAAGGAAGCAGAAAACAAGCTTGCTCCCTCCTCCCTGTGTCTTCCTCTCACATATTATACATGGCGATCATATCTCTTCTCAGCCTTCTCTTCTTCAGGCTAAACATGCCCAGCTCCTTAAGCCGCTCCTCATAGGGCTTGTTCTGCAGATCCTTGATCATTTTAGTCGCCCTCCTCCGGACACATTCCAGCTTGTCAATATCTCTCTTGAATTGTGGTGCCCAGAATTGGAATAAAATAATGGTTTCAGCCCCTCATTTCACACAATGCCCGTTTCTCATATTCAGGGGCAGGAGGTAAAACAAGAGAGGGAAACTCCTGTGTACGCTGGACAGAGCTGGGAAATTTCTTTTGACTATGACTCTCCAAGAGAAGACAATTATGCTGGGGAAAGTGGAAGGCAAAAGGAAGAGGGGCCGACCAAGGGCAAGATGGATGGATGGCATCCTTGAAGTGACTGGACTGACCTTGAGGGAGCTGGGGGTGGTAACGGCCGACAGGGAGCTCTGGCGTAGGCTGGTCCATGAGGTCACGAAGAGTCGGAGACGACTGAAGGAATGAACAACAATGACTCTCCAAATCAACATTAAAAACTTCCCAAACTTTGGTATTAGAATAACACTATTTCCTCCTGATTTGTGACATCACTTGCCAAGCTCAGCTACTATATGCCTTATTCATCTACCAGAATCCTCTGAGACATAGACCATCGGGTAAGTTAACACAGAAAAAGTTTAACTAAGGCAGGAAGCGCAAATAAAAACAACCCTTCCTCAACTGGGAATTAACAGATCTCATGGAACTTCATGCTCAATTATTGTTGAACCAGAAGTAGGAAAGGAAATGAGATGATCCAGTTGTGAGACATCGGAGCTGTGCTAACTCAGACCACAGTTCCAAGATCTGCTTTCTATTCCCAAAGTTCTTCATTAGATACTTGCAGAATCCCCATAAACTGGTCTTGAATTCCCCAGCACCCTTTAGTTTATTTTACCTATATACTGACTCAACACGGTGAAATTGCATAGCTCAAGGTAACTAGCAGCTTCTGATAGCTGTCTTCCATCCCATTTGTCTGATCCCTTTCAAAAGCCACTGCAGGTTGCCTGCCATCAATATATCATGCGACTGAAGTACTTTGGCAGTTCTTGCGACTGAAGTACTTTGGCAGAAACACTCACATCCTCATTGCATGACTACTTTTAATGAGAAAAATGTGTCTGCACCCTTTTTTCACACAATGCATGTTATGGACTTATCAATTCCAACAGTTCTGTGACATCACACGTGTGATGACAGAAAAGCAGGCATCGTGCTGTCAAGGTCAGGAATCAAGCTATTTCAGAATAATCAATAGCACTTCTCTTACTGGTGAATAATGCAGAGTTCTGGCATGATCTGCTAAGCATTTAGTTTCCATTGATACAGAAGATACGTGCACTTTCAGAGATATACAAGGATTTTTGAGACGAAGCTTTCTGAACATCATTTTTTTGATCAAAAGCAACATTTTAGTATATTCTTCCTTAGAGCATCTATCTTTGTATGGATACCCTTCTATCCATTTAGTGACTTCTGGTTGTTTTGGATGAATACTATTATTCCTTGCTACTAGCATTGCTTGCAGAGGCCACAGAGAAGGCACAATGGGGAGCATGACAGAGAGAATAATCTCATAGCTTTTCATTTGGATCCATGAGACACCCTTGACAATAGCTGTGCTTCTGTTCATATCAAGATTGTGTTAACTTTTTTTAAGCTAAAGGGATAGTTCTATTTTAGGTATTTCTTTCAAACAACTTTAAGGGGAAAGTTGGGATACTTCTCATATCTAGAGAACAAGCCCTATGAGGAGCGGTTTAAGAGCTGGGCATGTTTCACCTGCAGAAGAGAAGGTTGAGTGGAGACAAGATAGCCATGTAAATATATGAGGGGAAGTAACAGGGAGGGAGCAAGCTTGTTTTCTGCTGCACTGAAATTTTTAGATTGGATAGTATTTTCAGATCCATGAACTGTATCCAGGGTGAGGGCTACTTAAATAATTTTGATTCCAGGTGTTTATTTTCAGCAGCAAAGGTGAGTTTCCAAACTTCAACACAAAAATTCAATCTGTTCTTTGCAACTATCAGCTTTTCTGGCCAATTTAATTTAGGGAGAAGGGAAGTCATTTTGGTACTGCTTTCTTAAACAATAGGGATTCAGAAATCATTGTCAATCTAATGCAAAACTGAGTCAACCAGATCCCAGTTTACGTTCCACACAGTTCTGGATCGAAGTTCATTCTGTCCGCATTTATTCCAAAAACTCCCCACTTTGAAACCGAAATAAAGTACTTTATGTCCAGAAGATATAGGTTTGAAGACACTACTACAAGTGTGAGTTCTCTAGAAAGGACTTTATTTTGTTCATACATATTATGCCATGAATTCATATGGAATTGGCTCCAGAAGCTCTGGCTCTTTGCCGCCGGTCCTCACAAAATGTGCTTCTCTTGGTTGAGCAGGCTATAGAAGTAAAGCGAAAAAGGAAAGAAAATGAAAACAAAATGGTGAGTCACAACAGCAATCCAAGTTCTCAGGTTTCTGTAACAATGAAAAATCAGGACTTCCCTGCATCTCTGTGCGTTTTACAATTGCGTATATCTTTCCTGAACACTGTGTTTCCACTGCTAAGATATAATCTCAGAAATTAATCCTGTAATACTTCACATACTTGTGAATTTATAGCACTTCTCTCCTGGCAATATTTTAACTGGCAATTCTATTTCTTCACTGTTATATATAGCATTACTGTTGTTACCCTTTTGAAACTCAGTTTGGTTTTGCTATCTGAGAACAGAATAACACCTTTAACCTAAGAAAACATTTAAATATTTTTAATCTAAGAAAACATAGCAGAGTAATCATTTTCCTTGTAAGATGTACAGAAAGGACACGATCAAAGCCCTGGAAATGGGCTAATGAGAACCAAAAGGCTAAAGTGAAACCAAGACAAACCTGAATAATGAGGAAAAGCCTTTCCTGTTGTTTATTTCTATGAAAGAACTATTTACAGTATTTCACAAATGCATCAACCTGCCATTTTTCTCTTGCCATAAACTTAATTGCTTCCCTTTTTACTATAGCAATGTAAGAGATTCACTTTTAAAAAAACTTTAAAAAGTAGTAACAACAAATATGCAAATGCATTCGGGCCAAAAGGCATGCCGTTTTCAGATCCATTTCCACCTGACCCATCACTTCATTTACTAGAAAGTTACCCGAAAGGGAAGGAGTGTTTTCTGTTTCTTCTGGCAGAGATTCAGCCCATTGCTTACAATGGGAAAATTTAAAGCAGTGATTCTCAACCTGTACTCTCAGAAATCCTAACAACTGGTAATCTGGCTGGCATTTCTGGGAGTTGTAGGCCAAAACACCTGGGGACCCACAGGTTGAGAACCACTGCTTTAAAGGCTCAATCCTCAGTCATTTTAAGGCCTATCTGCATGAAACCTACCTCAGTTGTAGACCATTTACAACTGCAGGCCCGCCAAGTTTCAAAACAATTAACTAATGTACTATTTTTTTTAGAATTATTTTAAGCGTTAACCATACATTTAGGAACTGTAGTCACAGAGTGTGTCCATTCTCAGCCAATCAGAACAAGGACACCATCAGGCTTTTTACTAGCCGAGAGAGACACACAGAAAAACTTCAACTCCCATCAAGCTCCAAAAGGAACTGTAAATGGCCACCCTATGCTAGTGCCACTGGGAAAGTAAGTGGAGGAGGTAACTTTTCAAGAAACAAAATGGAGGCTTCTTCTGCCAGGGAGAGGAAAAGGACGATGCAGATCCCCCGCCTCAGGTATTTTGTGGATTTAACTCTTTCTGAAAATATCATCTCTTAAAAATCCATTTCACTGGTCTTTTCGTCTCTCTTCCCCTTTCTGTTTTCAAAAATTAAACGAAAATGGCCCTCTGAAAACTGCAATTTTTTTGTTAACAATTATTTGAGCCCAAGTCTACTAACAAATGGCTTCTTAAACAAGGTATCTGCTCTGGCCACATCACACATATTACCTGGCGTTTGAGTTCAAACCAAGTGCCTTTTTCCTTTGCTTCCTTCTTCTTCCTTTCATTTTCCTTCACGCGCTGCAAGAAGCTATCTCTGCTCTTTGAGTGCTTGATGTGCTCAATGCGCACATTTATTCTCTTGGCAAGAATTTTGCCCCTAGAAAGAAGACACGGACAATGACTGTCAGGTTTGCGGTTTGGAAGGCAATTCCACCAGTCAGGAATTTAATAATGGAGATCAAGTTACTACATTATGGCTGGTCTGTTACCCTCAAGAAAGAATGCAAATACAATCATGATTTTTAGATAAAACTTAGATGCTTTAGAAACAGATACAGATTTTACTGAACCGTTCAAATGCCTGTTTCCTCTGACAGGATCCAAACCAGTTAAATATAATCTGGCTGGGTTTTAAAAGGATATTCTTTCTACCCCACCTGAATGGCCAATGGAGACAACAGCTGTCTAATTGGCAAAGTGAAGTGGGAGACAAAACCACATCAAAGTAATGCAGCCGCAAGGCGGAGTAGTGAAAATAGACTTACTTAACCTTCTTGTTCACAATAATGCCCACAGCATGTTGAGTAATGTTATATACTCTTCCCGTCTTGCCATGGTAACATTTGTGCGGCATGCCTTTCTGAACTGTGCCCATGCCCTGTTAATACAAAATCATTACAAATGATAATCGTTAGAGATGACCATGGATCAATGTCCTACGTATGACAAAATATTTAATTAATAATAATAAAAACACTTTATTTATATCCCCCCCCCCCATCTCCCCAGGGGGACTCAGGACAGACTCCAAACATAAAAGTCAAATGTTCAATGCTCAAACACAACAACAATACACCCATAATAACGAAAAATTTATAACCCAATATAAAAAAAACAAATTATGCCTTAACAACTAAAATTAAATAAAAAACCTGTTATAACAGACATAAGACAAAACATCAAACATTGAACAAAAGCATCAATTTCCCAGTTCTTTGGGGGCAAATAGATTAATCATTAAGGGAATTAAGTTCTTATTAAGTGGTAAATATTTGGGAAAATACTGGAAACCACACATTAACAAATAAATGTCACATAACTAGATTTTAACTTTTGTATTTGCTGAATTTTAAATATTTTTTTCTAAGTTGTCACGAGTCCCACGAAAATGGGATAATGTTGCAATAACGCTGTAATTTGCGATCCTTCAATGGAGTCATACTTGTTATCAAAACTCTTGAAAAAGAAGCACCTTTTTACAGTCTCTTTATGAACCCAACCTTCCTTGACTTCTATCCAGATGGCAGGGTTTTGTTTTTTTTTATAGGAGTACCATTTTTGGGAAGATAATAAAGAAGAGCTGGAGAAAAACAGACTTTTGGTGCCAGCTGCAGCATGTCTTCTGTAAACAATGCAGTAAAAGCTTGAACTGGCAAACAGTAGGATTTTTCTCTAGCAAATCCTGCTGCAGCTATGTGTTCCTGCCTACAACAGACAAGGTTAACTGCAGACTGCAGCTTTCCCCAGGAAGAGCAAAACTGAGAGAAAAGAGGAAAACAGATTTGCCTGCCTTATCTGCAATCCCACCCTTCATAGTAAAGCTTATCTTGGTTTGTATAGCTCGTTTTAACTACAATTTTATTGCTGTGCTTCATTGATTACTGCACTTTGATTGAGGTGTTTTATGTTGATCCTTGTTATGTTTTAATTTTATGCTATTTGGTGGTGTTTTACTGATTCTGGTTAATTTTTGTTGTATTTGATATGTTCTGTGATGAACTACTGTTGCCTTGTAAGCCGTCCCAAGTCCCTTTTGGGAGATGGAGCAGGATACAAATAGGTATTATTTGAAACAGAACAAGATGAGTCCACAGCAGACAAGATCACTCTTCTGGTTGTTGTATTGGTTCACACGTCGGACACTTCCCAAGTGTCTAGGACTGTGTAATGTATCAGCGAATAATGCGTGCAGATCCCAGTAAGGTGGCCTTCTGCACCTGGCAGATGGTAATTTTGCCAGCGCCGATTGTGTTTACGTGCAGGCCAAGGTCTTTAGGCACTGCACCCAGTGTGCTGATCACAACTGGGACCACCTTGACTGGCTTGTGCAAGTCTTTGCATTATTATTATTATTATTATTATTATTACCTGTCCTACTTTTTCATTTCACATAAGCATGTTGTTTTAGAAGAAAAACTGCTGAAAGATGTAAAATTACTCCTTTTTGTGATGCGGAGATCTAGCTCAAAAATGTTCATGTGTTTTCTGCCTATAGTATCAAATTTTCTGCTGAAAAATATAGGAACACATTTACTTTGCAGAGTTATACCTATATGTATTTGCTGGCCTAGTTTCAGACTAAAACTAGGCCAAGCTATCTGCTTGATTAAAACTCTCCAAAAGGACAAGTATAATTGGCATGACCTAGTAAGTCACAATTGTTACTAACCTTCATCTTAAAGAACTCCAGCAATCAAATAAAATTAAGTATGCCAGTGAGTCAGATCACATCTCTGGTTTGCTTTCAGTGCCGGTGAAATTATTTGATCACTTTGCAAAAGCAATCATAAGAGACAATCATCATCAAGCCCCAGAGTGTGTAAAGAGCCAAAGCTATTTAGTAAGGTAGTGCTCTTAAAGGTAATAGAACTGAATATTCCCAATAAGGCTTTGTATCAGCCAGTGTGTTGTACATTTAAAAATAGCATCTCCTAATAAGTTGCTATGATACTACAAAACATTTCACTAAAACATTTTTCAAGAACTCATTCTATATTACAATTTTTGCAAGCATGTCACCATCTGCATGTGGTAGGATTAACTTAAAAGGCCACACAGCCTTTCCTTTACTCATTTTTCAACATTTGTTGTATGGTAATCAACAGCAAATAAAAGGTTTCTATGCACGCTATAAAACCCACGCTCAATTAAAGATGCCCCCCTATCAAATGGTACAAAACTTCATTTTATTTTGCAGGGGGAAAAAGTCTACATGCCAGTTTTAGTTCAACAGCATTTTAAAGGTAGATACCTTGATGTCAACAATATCACCCTTCTTATAGATGCGCATGTAGGTTGCAAGCGGGACAACACCTATGGAAAAGATGCAATATGACACATGTTTATTCGAATAAGGTTTTGTAAGTTTGAATACAATGTATTGAATGCAATTCATGACCTGTTTAAGGCAATTAATACACATCCTGGTAGTAAAGACTGACTTACAAGCTACAGCACAGCTGGCCACTGTGATGACATGGACACTATGTAGAAAATATTGTTTTATATAACGGTAATGTGATTTTGAGAGCCAGTATTGTGTAGCGGTTTGAGCACTGGACTATGACTATTAGAGACCAGGGTTTGAATCCCTGCTCACAGGGTGAAACACACTGGATGACTTTGGGCAGGTCATACTCTCTCCACCTCAGAGGAAAGCAAAGACAAACCTCCAAACAAATTCTGCCACAGGGTTGCCATAAGTCAAAAATGACATCAAGGCACAAAACAAAGTTTGGTTTATTGTGTGTTGGCGAATAGAAGTACTCAGGTAAGAAGTTGGAAGGGGGAGGGGAGAATGAAATGTTGGGAGGGAATGGTGACAGTGGTAACAGTGAAAACAGTGGAAAAGAAAGAGTTCCAAATATGTGCAGCAGAAGTGGAGTAAAGGGAAAGCTTCCATTCTTGGTGACAGTAGCTGGACTGTGGAAGTTTTTGCACATGGCAGTAGCGGAGACTCGGGAAGAACCTTACATCTGGTGGGAAAAGTGATGGAACAAGGGACAAAAGTCCCACAGCCATCCACTGATGTATAAAAGTGGCTTTCAATTCTGTTCAGACTCAAGCTAAAAATGGAAGCAACAGTTTCTTTGTTCCAAATTCAGAATAACAGAACACTCAACAAAAGGGAATATTCATTAAAATAACTTACATTTATGATAGTATGGCGCCTTCTACACTGCTATATAATCCAGATTATTAATACAGATAATTCATATTATTTGCTATGAACTAGATTATGAGACTACACTACCATGTACTCCAGTTCAAAGCAGATCATCTGGATTTTATATGGTAGTGTAGAAGGGGCCTTAGAATTAAAACAACCCTTCAGCAGGCATTCCAATTCATCCAAGTAGATTGTTAACCAATGCCTGGATCAGCAAAATGCAACAATGTAATAACCAGATTAAATGCTTTGAAAACATTACCTACCATGTTTGCGGAAAGGTCTTGAGAACATGTAACGCGTCCCCCTCCTCTTCCCCTTTGTGTTCGTCATCTTGACTGATTACTGCAAGAGATTAAAAATCCGAAGCTACATTAATTTAATAATCCATAACGTGGAAACACATCTTTTACAGACTTAAGGCCTTTCCAGATAGGCCCTTTATCCAAGGATCTGATCCCATGTTTTCTATTTATCCCAAATTATCTGACAGTGTGGACTCATATAATCCACTTGAAAGCAGAAAACCTGGGATCAGATCCTGGGATATAGGGCTTGTCTGGAAGGGCCCTTAGTGCATCTCTATCTAAAAGTTCAGTACAATACTTTTTTTCTACTTTGCACACAACTGAAAGAAATAAGTATATGAAAAGAAATGCAGCAAGTATTGCTGACACTTATTTACACTATAATTTATCCCCCAAATTTTTAAAAAAAGATCTTAGAAAATCCATCTAGTACTAACCTGTACCAGATATATTTCTAAAACAAGCCGCACGCTCTTGCATTATAACCTCCTTTGGAGACATCAGAGGGCTACATGCCACCAAAAACACACACACCAAAAAAACAAACAAAAAAACAACCCCTTCACATACACTCAAACATGCCCAGGTGGATGGGAGGGATATTTCCAAAATTTCTAGTTTTCTGTAGGTTATTTCAGACCTCAGACAAGTCTTTTATAAAACAGAAAGTGATTTCAACGTCAATTTATTTTAGAAAAATTGAATCTCCTGGGCCTAAAACTGCCCATGTGAGGGGAAAATATGGTGAAATTGCCTCCCTCTGCTCCTAGAATATGCTGAGAAGCGTTCGGAAGCAAAATAATAATACTAAAAATGATGATGTTGGGAGAGTGGGAGGAGTGCACTTTGCCTCCCACAATTGTACAGTTTCGGTGCTAGATTTTGGGACTAGCCATTCCTCAAATTATCAGGATATACTTCATACATTAATTCTTGCTGAGAGAAAACCATTTTACATTTAAAGGCATTTTCTTCTTTAAAGTAAGATATCAAGGAAAGGAAAGGCACTGTTAATTGCTACCACTTTAGCAAATTTGGTGACAGGTTTCGATTTGTAAAAATAGACAGCAGCACATGTAATCTGCATGATGCCAACCATAACATTTTCAATGCTGTTCTTCACCCTAAATGAGCTGAAAATATTGTATTTTTTAATTTTAAGATACTACTGGTTGTAAAATGCATACTAGTTTCAGTATCACAAACTGAAAAAAAGCTTTAAACAGAGGCTGGGTGGCCATCTGTCAGGGGTGCTTTGAATGTGATTTTCCTGCTTCTTGGCAGGGGGTTGGACTGGATGGCCCACGAGGTCTCTTCCAACTCCATGATTCTATGATCCTCCTCCCCCCTCCCTGTTCTCTAATGGGACTTTGAGATAAAAGAAAGGGATTGTTGGGAGTTGAATCAACCCTATGAGACCTCACTACCTCTGAGGATGCTTGCCATAGATGCAGGCGAAATGTCAGGAGAAATGCCTCTAGAACATGGCCCTATAGCCCGAAAAAACCTACAAGAAGCTAGTGATTCCAGCCATGAAAGCCTTCGACACTACAGCTTTATTATAAATTAAAAAGCACGAGTGTTTCTAAGACACACCCTGTTTTTAGAGATGTTTAATTGGGGGCGGGGGAGCACATTTAGAATTAATACGTACAGTTTATTCCCTCACACATATATGCATGCGTACACACATATATAGATATACATATATCATATCACTAGTCTATCTAGCATGGTATTAACTCCTGCTCCATATGGTTTTCAACTGTCAAGTCCCAAAAGCCCAGTAGTTCTCAACCTGTGGGTCCCCAGGTATTTTGGCCCACAACTCCCAGAAATCCCAGCCAGTTTACCAATTGTTGGTATTTCTGGGAGTTGGAAGGCCAAAACATCTGGGGACCCACAGGTTGAGAACCACTGCAATAGGCCTATCCAGCATAGCCATTGATGAATAATCATGAAGTTTCAGCCCCATAATTACAATACTAAACTTTCTTTAAAACTGAATAGCGTAGGTTTAACGATCATATGGATCCCAACTCTGTATAGATATGCCAGGGACAGAATACAGAGTATTTTGCATGCAAAGCATGTGCTCCGCCACTAACATATTTGAATACAACAGTGGTTCTCAACCTAGGGTTCCCAGATGTTTTTGGCCTTCAACTCCCAGAAATCCTAACAGCTGGTAAACTGGCTGGGATTTCTGGGAGTTGTAGGCCAAAAACATCTGGGAACCCCAAGTTGAGAACCACTGGAATACAACCTAATATAATTGAATGAGAGATGGCCAGGTGAAGAAAAATTGTAAATCTCTGGGAGTGTTTCCCAAAACATCTGGGGGGAAAAGGTCATGGGGTGCATCTCCACTGCAAAGGGCATGCAGCTTGACACTGCTGTAACCACCATGGCTCAATACTATGGATTCATGGGAGTTGTAGTAATACAAGGTTTTTAGCCTTCTCTGCCCAAGAGGTTGATGCCTCACCATGAAGGGGGCAGTTCCATCTTGTCTCTTGCATATGGCATCAGTTGGGGACCCCTCCCCCCAGCACCAACTGCTGTTCTGGGCCAGAGTGAAGAGAGGGGCCAGGGGACAGTTCCACCTTGTCTGCTGTGCTATGCTAATATTATAATACAATATAATACTATTAATAATATGACATTATAATTATATTTTATATTACATGCAATATTACTAAAATATTACAATGTAACGGTATAGTACAACATAGTAATATAGAATACTGATACTGTACTATACTATACTATAATATATTGTATGTATATATTTATTTACTGCATTTATACCCCGCTCTTCTCAACCCCGAAGGGGACTGGCAACCCCGAAGGGTGAAGAGCGGCTTACAAATTATGGCAACATTCAATGCCACATCATACAACAAATAATAAATATAACATATCAAATTATAAAACAATTAAAACATATAAATGCAATAAAACATAGTAAAAATAGCTTTAACAGAGCAGATGTTCCATCAGGGGAAGAATGAGATGCCAAACCGGGGTGGCAGTGTTCACTCAAGAGAGGGCTCAGGTGAATCAAGGGCCATGGCTGGAAGAAACAAATGTTGATATCTCTGTGCTGACTCAAGGATGCTGAAATGGAGGCCAGTCAAGGTAAGATTCCAGCAGCACCAAGAAGCTGAGAGTCCCAAGAAGCTGAGCCAGAGGCAGCAAGGGAAATAAACGCTGCCCCTTCTCTCAAAGCCCCTGGTGATGGTACCTTCACTTCTTGCTTAGGCCTGAGGCCCTGCAGGCGTGGTTCTTTTTATCTTGTAAGCTGCTCTGAGTCCCCTTCGGGGTGAGAAGGGTGGCATATAAATGTTGTAAATAAATAAGTAACTACAAATCCTAGGATTCCATAGCACTGCCAGTTAAAGTGGTGCCAAACTGCACTAATTCTACAGTGTAGATCAGGGGTCGTCAACTAAGGCCCGGGGGCCAGATACAGCCCTCCAAGATCATTTACCCGGCCCTCACTCAGGGTCAACCTATGTCTGAAATGACTTGAAAGCACACAACAACAAGAACAGTCCTATCTCATCAGCCAAAAGCAGGCCCACATTCCCACTGAAATACTAATAGGTTTATATTTGTTAAAGTTGCTCTTCATTTTAAGTATTGTATTGTTGTTGTTTTTTTTGCACTACAAATAAGATATGTGCAGTGTGCATAGGGATTCATCCATGCTTTTTTCCCCCTTCAAATTATAATCCGGCCTTCCAACAGTTTGAGGGACTGTGACCTGGCCCTCTGTTTAAAAAGTTTGAGGACCCCTGGTGAGATACACTCCAAAACACACTGGGGGAGGGGGAGGGGGGGAGGAGATCAAACTGTGGTAATGACTTTAAAAGAGAAGTTTTTAAAAATGTGCTGAAGAAGGAAGAATAGAAAGCTTTGGCCTCCACCACGAGGGATGCCTAAGGGTGCATCTACACCGCAGAATGCAGCTTGACACCACTTTAATCGCCATGGGATTACTGGGATGTGGTGAGACAGCAGATAAGTCTAAAGACCTTGTAAAACGACAATTCCAGTTGTTGCATAGCACTGAACCATGGCAATTAAAGTGCATTGTTTCTACAGTATACATCAGGCATTGACCAACTTGGGCCTTAAGCGGCTGAGGGGGAAAAGGAAGGGGCCTGAGGCTGTTAGGAATGGTGGGAGTTGAAGTCCAAAAGACCTGGAGGGCTGAAGTTTGCCCATGCCTGTTCCAGAAGTACAAGCCTAGTTCTGTTTAATTCAGCATTGGCTCAAATTTAAATTCTTATCAATTTAGATCTCACTGGAAATTTTTTCTTTAATCTGCGTTGAGGGAGAACTGATTTCTTAATGCACATATCTTTGAATTCTCCTAGATATTTTAATTCATCGCTGTTTCTTTTATACTTGTTTATTTTAGAAATGTGCTATTCCAGGCTTGGGTCAGCTTAAGCGGCTGAGGGGGGAAAGGAAGGGGCCTGAGGCTGTTAGGAATGATGGGAGTCGAAGTCCAAAACCCCTAGAGAGCCCAAGTTGTCCCAGGCATGATGTAGATACATCCTAAGCCTCTAACGAAGGCCCTGGATCACTCCCATCCCTTTGGCTTTTGACCCAAACCAACGCGGCCTGCTTGCCCGGCTTCCTCCCAGCATCGCTTTCCTCGCGTGCCTCGCTCCCGCTTCCAACCGCCGCTGAAGGCCTCGCCTCCTTCTTCACAGCAAAGCTTTCCTTCTTCCCCATTACCAATCAGAGCACGGATCCCCCCAAAAACCCCACTTTAACCACGAAAAGGAGAGCAGCCCACCTTCCCGTGTACCTGCAAAATGGCGTCCGCAGGCCAAAAGAAAGAGGGAGGGGCTTCGCAAGCCTTCCGCTCCTTCCGGCCACTGCGGGTCCTTGGCACGGTTATCGTCGTCTACGAAAGTGCCTGACTGGGAAAAAATCCCGACTCAGACTTGATCTCCTTTTAATTTTTGTCTTTACAATTGGAATCCACGAAGAAAAGAACGATGTCCCAATTGTATAAAGAGTCTTCTATTCTGATCCAGTATTGAAGAAGGCAATTGTAAAGACAGGCTTTAAAGGAGGACCCCTATGACGCAAAAGTGGGCGGGGCTTAGAAGAACATTGGGTGTTGTGCCTCCCACGTGGATGTGTCTGAGTGTCTCTACTATAGAATTGACGCAGCTGCCATGCCACAAGGCTAGGAGATACTGGGATTTGTAGTTTGGTGAAGCAGCAGCTCTCTTTGGCAGTCAAGGCTAAACAAAACTGCGGCTCCCATTATTCCATAGCACTGAGCCATTGCGCACTGCCCTTGCGCTGTGCTACTCTGCTGCTGAGTATGCATGCCCAGTGTGGAACACATCTCACCACACTAAAACAGTGGATGTGGCTCTTAATGAGACATGCCGCATTATCACGGGGTGTCTGCGCCTTACACCACTGGAGAAATTACACTGTTTAGCTGGTATTGGACCACCTGACATCCGCTGGGAAGTGGCAGCCAATAGTGAAAGGACCAAGGCGGTGACATCTCCAGCTCATCCCCTGTTTGGGTATCAGCCAGCACGTCAATGACTTAAATCTAGAAATAGTTTTCTAAAATCTACAGAGACACTTGCGGAAACACCTCAGCAAGCGAGAGTCCAAAAGTGGCAGGCTCAAACCCAGAACCTCAACCAATGGCTGATACCAAATGAGAGACTCCCCCCTAGGCACACAGAGGACTGGGCGACTTGGAAGATACACAGAGGAACACACTGCGCTCTGGCACCACAAGATGCAGAGCCAACCTTCAGAAATGGGGCTACAAAGTGGAATCCTCGGCATGCGAGTGTGGAGAAGAGCAAACCACTGACCACCTGCTGCAACCTGAGCCCTGCCACATGCACAATGGATTACCTTCTTGCAGCAACACCAGAAGCACTCCAAGTGGCCAGATACTGGTCAAAGGACATTTAATCAACTACCAAACTCACAAATTTTGTATTTTGTCTGTTTGTTTGCTTTGTTCTGTTAGAAATGTAATATACTTGACTGGTTGCCCTGACACGACAAATAAATAACTGAGCCATGGCAGTTCAAGTGCTATCAAACTGCATTAATTCTACAGTGGAGATGTATCCTGTGTTGTACAGGTTGTCTCCCTTATCTGAAATTCTTGGGACTCAAACTGCTTTGGGTTTTTTCAGCTTTTGGAATATTTGTATTTGTATATGTATATAGTCGTGTCAGGAGTGACTTGATAAACTGCAAATCGCTTCTGGTGTGAGAGAATTGGCCGTCTGCAAGGACATTGCCCAGGGGACGCCTGGAAGATTTGATGTTTTTATCATCCTTGTGGGAGGCTTCTCTCATGTCCCGCATGAGGAGCTGGAGCTGATAGAGGGAGCTCATCTGCCTCTCCCCGGATTCGAACCTGCGACCTGTCGGTCTTCAGTCCTGCCGGCATATTATTAGCATAGTACAGTATCAGTATTAAATATTACTATATTGTTCAGGAAATAAAGCCCAACTGCTTACTGGAGGAAAGGATAGTAGAGGCAAAGATGAAGTACTTTGGCCACATCATGAGAAGACAGGAAAGCTTAGAGAAGACAATGATGCTGGGGAAAATGGAAGGAAAAAGGAAGAAGGGCCAACCAAGAGCAAGATGGATGGTTGGTATCCTTGAAGTGACTGGATTGACCTTGAAGGAGCTGTGGGTGGTGACGGCTGACAGGGAGCTCGGTGTGGGCTGGTCCATGAAGTCATGAAGAGTCAGAAACAACTGAATGAACAACAACAAATCACTATTATTTTATTATTTAAAACATTTATATTCCGCCCTTCTCACCCCGAAGGGGACTCAGGGCGGAGCACAGCATATACACGGCAAACATTCAATGCCGGGACAGAAATTCACATACAGTACATAAACATTAAAAAACATTTATCAAAATATTAAAATACACCATTTAAAACCGTCCTAGTCATCCACATCAAATCTAATTGGCCTGGTCATCTTTCCTATTGCCGCTTTATTGCTCTGTTCCAAAAGCTTGGTCCCACAGCCAAGTTTTTRCCATCCTTCTAAAGGACAGGAAGGAGGGGGCCGACCTGATCTCACCAGGAAGGGAGTTCCATAGCCGGGGAGCAATCACCGAGAAGGCCCTGTCTCTYGTCCCCACCAATAATGCCTATGACAATAGCGGGACGGAAAGCAGGGCCTTCCCGGAGGATCTTAATCTCTGCGATGGTACATAGGGGGAGATGCGTTTGGACAGGTAATTTGGGCCGGGGCCGTTTAGAGCTTTATATAAGTTAAAGCCAGCACTTTGAACTGTGCTCGGTAGCAAACTGGCAGCCAGTGGAGCTGGCGTAACATGGGAGTTGTATGCTCCCTGTATGCCGCCCCAGTTATTAACCTGGTTGCCTCTCATTGGACTATTGGAAGATTCCGAGCAATCTTCAAAAGCAACCCCACATAGAGTGCATTGCAGTAGTCTATCCTAGATGTAACAAGAGCGTGGACCACTGTGGCCAAGTCTGACTTCCCAAGGTACAGGCATAGCTGGCGCACAAGTTTTAATTGTACTATACTATATTGTACTATACTATGTGTGTGTGTGTGTATTTATTTATTTATACCATTTCTACCCCGCCCTTCTCACCCCCGAGGGGGGACTCAGGGCGGCTAACACAGGCAACAATTCAATGCCAACAGTATCAATAACAACAATATAAACCAACAATATAAAATCCTATTACATAACAATTAAACAGTGATATTAATTAAAATTACATAATCACATAGAACAAATCACATAATCACAGGTTATATAGCCGTTTGAGATGCTGGTGGGACCGAAAGCAGGTCCTCCTCAGTAGATCTTAAATTACGAGGTGGAACGTAGAGAGATACGTTCGGATAAGTAAGCTGGGCTGAAGTCATATAGGGTTTTATAGGCCAAGACCAGCACTTTGAATTGTGCTTGGAGGTGGACCAGCAGCCAGTGGAGCTGATGCAGCAAGGGGTGGTATGCTCCCTGTATATTTATTATTTATTTACTGTATTTATACCCCGCTGTTCTCACCCTGAAGGGGACTCAGAGCGGCTTACAGATTTTGGGAAAATTCAATGCCTCATTATACATACAAATAATAAATATAACGTATACAATTATAAAACAGTTAAAACATCTAAATGCAATAAAACAGATTAAAGTATAGTTTCCCAAGCATTCCCCCCTCCCCAGGGCATATATATATATATATATATATATATATATATATATATATATAATTATATCATATTATTAGTAGTATTATATTGCATCACATTATATTATAAATGTTATATGTATATACATTATATTATRTTACATTATACCAGGGGTCCTCAAACTAAGGCCCGGGGGCCGGATGCGGCTCTCCAAGGTCATTTACCCGGCCCTCGCTCAGGGTCAACCTAAGTCTGAAACGAYTTGAAAGCACATAACAACAACAATCCTATCTCATCAGCCAAAAGCAGGCCCACATTTCCCATTGAAATACTAATAAGTTTATATGTGTTAACATTGTTCCTCATTTTAATTATTGTACTGTTTTTAAGTGTTTATTACACTACAAATAAGATATGTGCAGCGTGCACAGGAATTCATGTTTTATTTTTCAAATTATAATCCGGCCCTCCAACAGTTTGAGGGACTGTGACCTGGCCCTCTGTTGAAAAAGTTTGTGGACCCCTGACCTAGAGCTTCGGAAAGCTTCTGTTCAACCATCTCAAAGCTCCCTGCTTGAGCAGTAATGGCACGATCATCAGCATAGATGAAACTCTCTGTCCTTTCTGGCAGTGGCTGGTCATTTGTGTAGATGTTGAACATGGATGGAGTAAGCACGCTCCCCTGAGGCAGGCCATTCTTCTGTTTCCGCCATCTGCTTCTCTGGCCCTGAAACTCAACAAAAAAGCTCCTGTTTTGTAGCAGGTTTCCTATGAGGTGGGTGAGGTGGTAATCCTTTGTGATATTATACATTTTTCTCAGGAGGAGGCGGTGGTTCACAGTATCATAGGCTGCTGACATGTCTATGAAGACAGCTCCTGTGATCTGCTGCCTTTCAATGCCATCTTCTACGTGCTGAGTCAGGTTCAACACTTGCAATGTGCAGCTACAGCAGTGGTTCTCAATCTTTCTAATGTTGCGACCCCTTAATACAGTTCCTCATGTTGTGGTGACCCCCTAACCATAATATTATTTTTGTTGCTACTTCACAACTACAATTTTGCTACTGTTATGAATCATAATATAAATATCCGATATGCAGGATGTATTTTCATTCACTGGACGAAATTTGGCACAAATACATGATATGTCCCAATTTGAATACTGGTGGGGTTGGCAGGGGATTGATGTTGTCATTTGGGAGTTGTAGTTGCTGGGATTTATAGTTTATCTACAATCAAAGAGCATTATGAACTCCAAAAATGGAATTGAACCACTCTTGCCACACAGAACTCCCTCGACCAACAGAACATACTGGAAGGGTTTGGTGGGCATTGACCTTGACTTTTGGAGTTGTAGTTCACCTACGTTCAGAGAGCACTATGGACTCACACAATGATGGATCTGGATCAAACTTTCCATGAAAAGGTTCTTGTGGGTTTTTTCGGGCTATAGAGCCATGTTCTAGAGGCATTTCTCCTGACGTTTCGCCTGCATCTATGGCAAGCATCCTCAGAGGTAGTGAGGTCTGTTGGAATTAGGACAATGGGTTTATATATCTGTGGAATGGCTGGGATGGGGCAAGGAGCTCTTCCCTGCTGCAGTTAGGTGTGAATGTTTCAGCTGATCACCTTCATTAGCATTTGAAGGCCTGCCTGAGCCTGGGAAAATCTCTTGCTGGGAGGTGTTAATCTGTGCCTGGTTGTTTCCTCTCTGCTGTTTTGCTGTTGTAATTTTAGAGTTTTTTAATACTGGTAGCCAGATTTTGTTCATTTTCATGGTCTCCTCCTTTCTGTTGACATTGTCCACATGCTTGTGGATTTCAATGGCTTCTCTGTGTAGTCTGACATGGTGGTTGTTGGAGTGGTCCAGCATTTCTGTGTTCTCAAATAATATGCTGTGTCCAGGCTGGTTCATCAGGTGCTCTGCTATGGCTGACTTCTCTGGTTGAAGTAGTCTGCAGTGCCTTTCATGTTCCTTGATTCGTGTCTGGGCGCTGCGTTTGGTGGTCCCTATGTAGACTTGTCCACAGCTGCATGGTATACGGTAGACTCCTGTAGAGGTGAGAGGATCCCTCTTGTCCTTTGCTGAACGTAGCATTTGTTGGATTTTCTTGGTGGGTTTGTAGATTGTTTGTATGTTGTGTTTCCTCATCAGCTTCCCTATGCGGTCAAGTTTCAACAGAAAGGAAGAGACCATGAAAATGAACAAAATCTGGCTACCAGTATTAAAAAACTCTAAAATTACAACAGCAAAACAGCAGAGAGGAAACAACCAGGCACCTCTTAACACCTCTCAACAAAAGATTTTCCCAGGCTCAGCCAGGCCTTCAAATGCTAATGAAGGTGGTCAGTTGAAACATTCACACCTAGCTCCAGCAGAGAAGAGCTCCTTTGCCCCACCCCAGCCATTCCACAGATATATAAACCTCTTTTTCCAAGTTTCAACAGACCTCACTACCTCTGATGATGCTTGCCATAGATGCAGGCGAAACGTCAGGAGAAATGCCTCTAGACATGGCCCTATAGCCCGAAAAAACCCACGAGCTAGGTGTGAATGTTTCAACTGACACCTTCATTAGCATTTGAAGGCCTGGCTGAGCCTGGGAAAATCTTTTGTTGAGAGGTGTTAAGATGTGCCTGGTTGTTTCCTCTCTGCTGTTTTGCTGTTGTAATTTTAGAGTTTTTTTTAATACTGGTAGCCAGATTTTGTTCATTTTCATGGTCTCTTCCTTTCTGTTGAAATTGTCCACATGCTTGTGGATTTCTCTGTGTAGTCTGACATGGTGGTTGTTGGTGTGGTCCAGCATTTCTTTGTTCTCAAATAATATGCTGTGTCCAGGCTGGTTCATCAGGTGCTCTGCTATGTCTGACTTCTCTGGTTGAAGTAGGGTTCAACCAGTCTCACAGACAGTCTCACAGACATTCTTTCGCGTCAGTTCCCGGCGCTAGGACCCAGGGGAACACTCCGTACAGCCGACCCAGGCAGCTTGTAACGGTGTGGTTGTGGGCGGAAGTAGGTCCGGCTGGCGTGAGGAGGAAGGGGGGGTTGGACTTAGTGCGCGTGTGCGGAGGCTCGCGAGCCCTGAGGAGAGTACGGGAGCCGAGAGGAGGAGAATGGCCGTGGAGTGAGGGGAGGAGGAGGCTGCTGCGCGTGCGGGGCGCGCAGTTTGGGCGGTTGGAGGCAGGGCGGAGTCCTGGTCGGCCTCTCTCTCTCTCTCTCTCTCTCTCTCTCTCTCCCCAGCTGCTGGGAGGAGGCGAAGGCGGAGGCGGCGCCGCCTTCCTTCTCTTCCTGCCTTCCTTCCTTCCTTGCCTTCTTCCTCCGGCGGGACTCTGCCCCTCCGGCTCCCCTCGACGTTGTGATTGGGCAGAAGATGGCGCCGCGCGGATGGAAATCCTAATGACAGTCTCCAAAATCGCCTCCATCTGTACCATGGTGAGCCTGGCCTGAGGGGGTCTTCGGAGGGAGCCTCCCTTCTTCCCCTCCCTTCGCCTTTGGGAGGCTGCTGTTGCTGAGGGGAGGCCCAGGAGCAGAGGGAGAAGGGCGGGCCAAAGCGGTGCCCAAACTGGACGCCGAAGTGGTGTCAAACTGCATTAAATCTACAGTACAGATGCAGTTTGACACGCACTTTCACTGCTTTGGGATCCGGGAAGTTGTCGTTTGGTGAGGCAGAAAAGGTTAAACAAATAATAATATTAATAATATGATATAATAATAATATGACCTCACTACCTCTGAGGATGCTTGCCATAGATGCAGGCGAAACGTCAGGAGAGAATGCCTCTAGAACATGGCCATATAGCCCAAAAAAACCTACAACAACCCAGTGATTCCGGCCATGAAAGCCTTCGACAATACAAATAATAATACTTATTTATTTACTAGCCGTCCCCTGCCATGCGTTGCTGTGGCCCAGTCTGTGTATATGTGTTTTGTGTGTGTATATATGTGTTGTTTATACGTGTGTATATATTTGTGTATCTGTGTATATATGTGTTTTTGCATGTGTATATGTGTGCGTGTATGTGGGTATGTATATGTGTGTGCATATGTGTAGATGTGTATATATGTGTGTGTATATATATTTGTGTGCTTGTCTATATGCATATTTGTGTGTGTGTGTACGTGTTGCTGTGGCCCAGTCTGTTCATATGTGTTTTGTGTATGTGTTTATACGTGTGTATCTGTGTATATATGTGTTTTTGCATGTGTATATGTGTGTGTCTATGTGTGTGTGTGTGTATGTGTGTGTAGATGTGTATATATGTGTGTGTATATATTTGTGTGCTTATATGTGTATGTATATTGTATATATGTGTGTGCTTGTCTATATGCATATTTGTGTGTATATATGTATGTGTGTGCGTATATGTATGTGTAGATAGGTATATATGTGTGTATATATTTGTGTGCTTATATGTGTATGTATGTTGTATATATGTGTGCGCTTGTCTATATGCATATTTGTGTGTATATATGTATGTGTGAATGTATGTGTGCATGTGTATATGTATATATGTGTGTGTATTTGTGTCTGCTTGGGTATCAATAATAATAATAATAATAATAATAATAATAATAATAATAAACTTTATTTCTACCCCACCACCATCTCCCCGATGGGGACTCGGAGCAGCTTACATGGGGCCAAGCCCGGACAACATAATACAGCAATAAAATCAAAGCATATACAACAGATAACAACAACATTATCAAAATGACATTAATAATAATAATAATAAATAAAAAATCCAATAGACACAATCACGATAGAGATGACAATGGGCGGGCCACATATTCCAAATAAAAAACAATTAACAGACTCTGATGAGATAAAATAGGAGCAGGACATTTAAATATACATGTGTGTGTGTATGTGTATATATGTGTTTGTAGATGTATGTGTGTATTTGTGTCTGCTTGGGTGTAAATATACATGTGTGTATGTATGTATGTGTGCATGTGTATATGTATATGAGTGTATGCATATATATGTGTGTGTGGCGTATTTGGGAGGGGGAGTTAAGTCCATTCAGCTGTGGGGTTTTTTTTTTTGTGTGTGTTTTTAGGGGTGATGAACACTTGTTGGACAGTTAGATGTATTGTGTCAAAATTTGTGTCAATTCGTCTAGTGGTTTCTGAGTTATGTTAATTCCACAAACAAACATTACATTTTTATTTATATAGCTTTACTTACTTACTGTATTTTCACCCCGCTCTATCTCAACCCTGAAGGGGACTCAGAGCGGCTCCCAAATTTGCAATAATTTAATGCCACAGTAACATAAAAACATACAAGTTATAATATACATTGAGCATTAAAATCATGAAAATCATAAAACACTAACACAATTGTGCTAGCGAGCACAATTCAAAGTACTGGCTTCAGCCTATAAAGTCCTAAATGGTTCCAGCCCAGCTTACCTGTCCCTATGAACCATCTAGGAGTTTAAGATCATCTGGGGAGACCCTGCTCTCAGTTCCACCTTCTTCGCAGGTGTGACTGGCAGGGACAAGAGACAGGGCCTTTTCATTAGTGGCCCCTCAGCTGTGGAATTCCCTCCCTAGGAATATTAGATCAGCCCCTTCCCTCCTGACCTTCCACAGAAAAGTGAAAACATGGCTTTTTGAATAAGCTTTTGGGAACCTAGTGCAATAGATAAACACGAAGCTATGTGAAATCGAATACTGGAACGGCTTAGATAATGTTTTTAGATGATGAGGCTAATAATGCAGGTAGTGGTTTTATATGTTTTTAAAGGTTTTAATGTATGTTATAATTCCGTTTTGAATGCTTATTGTAATTTTTACATTGTTTTAGTGGCATTGAATAGCTGCCTATGTTATAAAGCTGCCTTGAGTCACCATCAGGTTCGAGAAAGGCGGGGAAGAAATATCGTAAATAAACAAACATATAAATACATTAAATATGGTAAGCTGTTAAAACAGTACATATAGACCCGAAATCATAATCCAGAAGCCATTCCAATCACATTGCATTCACTTCATAGCTGCGTATAGCCCTGTACTACTCTCCAAATGCTTGATTCCATAGCTAGGTTTTAACTTGCTTTATGAAGGACAGGACGAAGGGGGTCAATCTAATATCACTGGGGGGGGGGGTTCCACAACCAGGGGGCCACCACTGAGAAGGCCTTGTCCCTCATCCCCACCAGTCATGCTTGCGAAGGAGGGGGGACTGAGAGCAGGGCCTCCCCCATCGATCTTAGCCTCCAAGGTCGATCATAGAGGGAGATAAATTCAGACAGGTAAGATGGGCCAGAACCTTTTGGGAGTTTATAGGCTAAAGCAAGCACTTTGAATTGTGCTCGATAGCAAATAATAACAAATAATAACATGTGCTGATTCAGAAATTTGCATTGGATAGACTGCATCAGCTCAAGTTTCTTAGATATCATTATCATGGTTTTCTATGAGCGAGCACATATCAACTGGTAATAATAAATAATACTTTATTTATTCTCCGTCCCATCTTCCAAAAAGGGTCTCAGAGCAGCTTATAATCATAAAATAAAACATAGTTGATAATATAAACAAATTAAAACAAAACAAAACAACCAAAACATTGGTAAACAATTATGTATAAAAACAGTTTAAACAATATTAAAATTCCTAGCCATTGCTCTGGTAAAGAGAACTGATAGATGGCCTATGTTCTGTATCTCAAAATCTTTAGTGGATAGGGGGAAATTGGTGCCATTTTTGGAATCGGCGGGTCAGACATACCCAGAACAGGTCTAACATTTGAGGGACCAAAATATGTATTGGCTAGTGTAATCATTATTTTTATTTGTTTCCTGTACAGCACAGTTAAAACACCCAGATAAAACACAATGCTATTACAATATGTGTGTGTGTGTGTGTGTGTGTGTGTGTGTGAAAATGAGAGACTATGTATATACGTGGGTGGACATGTATCTATGTTTGTGGGAGATTTCAAAGAGAACATTGTCACTTCCACCGACTACTGATCTTTACCAAACTTGGTGCACAGACCCATCATGGCCAACTTTAAATACTGCCAAAGGTTTGGGGCAATGACAGGATGATTTGAATGGTAGTTTATCCACATCCTTATGCATGTTCTAATCGAGCCATTCATAAAATGTAAAACCAAACAAAGAATATTTATAATGTTTATCATTACAGATTGCCTAACCTGGGCATTGCTGGGTATCTAAGCTATTATGTTTGTATGTGTACGTAAAACATCAATAATAATAAAATGTAAATTTAAAATGCATAGTTTAAAATTGGCTGAGTAGGCCTTCCAGAAAATATAGGTGTTTAATTGTGTCTTAAATTTTGACAGTTAATTTAGTTGTCAGATATCTTACAGTAGGTTATTGCACAATCTTGGGGTGGCCAATGAAGTGTCCCCTGAGTGACAGTTGCCAGTCAGGTTCTGGCTTGTTGGAATAGACATCCCCCAGAGGACCAAAGTGTCCTAAGGTAACCTGGATCCAAACTATGTAGGTCTTAAAAGGTTAAAACCGACACTTTGTCATTTACCCAGAAACTAATTGGCAATCAGTGGAATGATTTTAATATTGGTGTAATATTCGATACTCCTAGATCCATAGAGTAGAATGTCTGAATTAACTGAACTTTCCAAACTTGGTGCAGAGGTAGCTCACTGTCCTATGCATTGCAAAAGTCCAACCTTGTGGTAACCAGGGTGTGCATTATCAACTAGAATCATAGAGTTGGAAGAGACCTCATGGGCCATCCAGTCCAACCCCCTGCCAAGAAGCAGGAAAATTGCATTCAAAACCTTTAAATCTTCAAGTTCTAGGAAGGAGCACAGCTGCCCTTTCAGTTGAAGCTGGAAATAAAACTACAACTCTCTTATTCCAAATCATTGAGCCATGACAGTTCAGGTGGTGTTGAGCTGCATTCATTCTACTCTATAGATACACCCAATGCTGGGCTGTCCTAGGCAATGTCTGTGTGTGAGTGGGAGGGAGGTCACCCTTTCACATGAATCAGTCATGCATGGTAGCTCAAGATTTAATTACAGTGAGACCTCGGTATCTGCTGAAGTTTGGTTCCAGGACCCTCTATAGCAGGCATGGTCAAACTTTGGCCCTCCAGATATTTTGGACTTCAACTCTCAGAAATCCCAGCCTAGGAATTGTGGGAGTTGAAGTCCAAAACACACGGAAGGCCAAAGTTTGCCCATGCCTGCTCTATAGATACCAAAATTTCTGGGAACTCAAACCCCATTATATACATGTTGTTCATTCGTTCAGTCGTCTCCGACTCTTCGTGACCTCATGGACCAGCCCACGCCAGAGCTCCCTGTCGGCCGTTACCACCCCCAGCTCCCTCAAGGATTATATACATAGCATAGTAAAATTGTGTTTCTTGTGTAAAATGGTAAATCAAGGCTTTTCTTTTGGAGTTTTGAAAAA